TGTATAAATAAATAATAAAAAAAAAAATAAGTGCCCTTTACCTAGTTTAAAAAAAAAAAAAGATTTAATGATAGCCCAGAGGTTCCCACGAGCAGCTACGGAATGAGTCTTTTTTTTTTTTTTTAAACTGGTGCACTATTTAATTTGGGTTTCATATAATTTTTGTAGGTGATTAAAACAGATTAAAACAGATTAAAACTCAAATTCATTGGGAGAACTCAAACAATGTAGACAAGGATAGAGCAAAAATCAAACCATTCCAACCCACTGCTTTGGGAAAGACGGACATTTTAACAATGTTAATACTTCCAATCCATGAGCAAGGAACATCTTCCCACTTCTTAGTGTCTTCAGTTTCTTTGAAGAACATCTTGTGGTTTTCATTATACAGGTCTTTCACCTCCTTTGCTAAGTTTATTTCCTGGAACCAGGTCTGTGTCTCAGGCTGGGCACTGTCCCCACTGGTGCCTGAGAGCAGGGGGGAGTGATGTGGGGCGTTATCACCTTCTGATATAAATTGTCATCTCCCTTGGGAGGCAGAACTGCCTGATATGTGGCTTTTATAAGGAGTGATGTTGTGTGAACTTATAAATATATCCTAGCAAAATGTCGTTCTTAACCATTTTTATATATAGGGATCCCCCGACGGAGCCCGCTAGAGTTATAGGATTCTGTCAATAAAAAACATTTGACAAGCACGGACTTGGTGCTTTTCTATTTGTCCCCTGCTATCAGAATGGAGATAGCTGGCTTTTATTTTCCTTGTGAACCACTAAGATGCCTAATGTCACTTTACAATTTATTAACCATTTTTTATTTCAAATTCTGAAAGCAGCAGAACATCCACATCCTGTTATCTGAGGCATCTAGGCACTTCCTGTCTTAATTTCTGTCAACCGTAACAGACCTTACATTCTTCCTAGCACAAATGCTTTGATGGGCTGCATCTGAAGATTTTTGTAATTATTATCAACAACTAATTGTTTTGGATGTAGGGTAAAGTATCAGGCTTTTCTGCCCTCCCACCATTAGGACTGATGATGGATCCCTGCGGTCCTGAATACATGCCTGATGGCAGGCACCTGGAGTGCAGTGTGGCCATACGTAAGTGGATATCCCTGTGCTGAGACTGGGCTTATAAGGGCGGCGTCACGGGGATGCCAGCAGAACAAGAGCAGAACCACGAGAAAAGCAAAACCATGAGAGAAGCAGAGACCACCAGAGAGCCCAGAGAGAGTGAAGACTTGCTGGGGGCTGGGAGGCCTGCCAGCTTCCCTGCTCCACAGCAGCCCTGCCTGCTGTGTACCTGGTAAATCCCAATAAAAGCCTGAAAAGCCACGGAGGGCTCCAGGACTCCTCTACCTGTCTGCTCCAATCATAGCAAACCTGCTCTGTGCCCATTCCTGCCCCCTACAAGGGAGAAATAATTTTCTTAAAGTCATAGCAGCTGTAGGAACAGTCAGCTGATCAGGTATGAGCAACAGATATCAGAGACACACTATTTAACTAAAACAACAACTTAGACTCTCAATGCTTTTCCTCAAAATAAGCACCACCTCAACAACTCTCTTGGAAGAATATAGTAGTATTTTAATTATAAATATAAAACCATATAAAGAAATCCCTAAAATCTGGAACAATATCCTCTAGGACAATATGAAAAGAGTAAGCTTTGTAGATTGACAATGGTTATCAAAAAAATCAATACAGCATTTTAACAATCTACAATGACCTTGAGTATGTAGTAGCAAAAAAATGCAGATCTGCTTCTTCAGAAATAAATCTATAAGAAACAAACCTGGAGGGCTTCCCTGGTGGCCTAGAGGTTAAGTCTCAGTGCTACCACTGCCACAGCCTGAGTTCGACCCCCGGCCAGGGAGCTTACCCACATGGCGCAGCAGACCTCTCCTGTCCCCACCTGCTGCTCCCCTCAGCGGTATATTTCAATCAATCCACCTGTTCTGCTCCCCACTCTGTCTCTGGTGAATCCTCTCACCCACCACACCTCTTACCTATACCCCAGTTCTTGTATGCATAAATAAATAAATCTTACCAAAAAAAAAATAAACCTATAGGAAAAAAAGAGCCTTTCTTCAAAACTTCACGAATAACTTTTGGTGGGGGTCATAAGGTAGACTAGACAGACGGTCAATATAGAAAGCTGTACACATCTGAAACTTAAGCAGTTACATTATTCCCACAGTAAAACATTTCACAAGTAAAAAGTGTAAGAATGCATGCCCCCTTGAGCAGGGCTTTTTGTTGATTCTATGTTTGCTACATCCCCAGGGCTTAGAACAGGGCCCGACACATAGTAGGTGCTTAGTAAATACATGGTGAATGACTATTTTAACAATAAAGTTTGATTAGAAATTTAAGAAATTAGAAGTGTCCCTAATAGGATCAAATAGAAGCTACAAAGTTAGGTAAACTTTTGCTATTAAATGAACTCTGAAACAAATTAAATAAACTAATTTCTCAATCTACTACTGGTTATCACTGTCTTGCAAAATAGCCAAAGACTCCAGGTGAGAAACAGCAAGTGAAGAGATATGCTGTAAGTGTACTTAGGGCCTTCTGCCTGTTCTGCTCCCTGCTCTGTCTCTGGAGAATTCTCTCACCCTCCCGCACCTCTGGTCTGTACCCCAATGCTTGTATAAATAAGTAAATCTTAAAAATAAATAAATAGAGATATGCTGTAATATGTAAAATGTACTTAGCCCATATTTTACCTGCCTACAACCAAAGCTTTCTCATTCCTGCTTATGATCTTTGACGATGTCTCTGTTGCAAGCAACAGAGAGCAAACTCTCACATCAGCTGAAAACAAGGGGTGGAGATTTAGTGAAAGGACTCTGGGGTGGCCAATGGCTTGAAGAACCACCACTGCAGGGGACATAAGGGACTGGCTGGAAAGTTTCCATCACCAGGCCTCTTTCTCAAAGTCTGCTTCACTCTCTCCAGTTTTTTCCGTGGGGTGGAATCAAGGTCGCCGGCATCTGCAGGACTCCTCCTCTCTTCCTCTCCTGAGAAGTAGCTTCTTTTCCTAGATCCAGTTAGAAAGATCCCAGGGAGGGACACCAATTGGTTCAACTTGGATGACATCCCGTCTTGTGAACCAATCTCTGTGGCCAGCGAGGAAGGGTGGGACACTGGAAACTCTGGCAACTCTCCTTTAGGACATGTTGGCAGTACCGGGCGGGCAGAGCAGTTCCCCGCAGTGGGATGGGCATCCTCAGGCAGGGACACATGTTGTTCATAATGAAAATTAAAGCTCTCAACGTAAAACCTCAGAGTTAGCCGCCTTCTGCGGGTTGGCCTTATGAGGCTTTCATTTACAAATTCTGGTTCACAAAATAGTCTGTTATTAAGGCTTCTTCTTGTCCAGGGAACAGCTAACTGAATTATTAAGTTATTCAGCCAAGATCTGCATTATTAGAGTGAGATAACAACAGTTCCATCTGAATTAAAATGGCAAACATAACATTATCATCTTTCTTTAAGAGATCAAAACACTTTCATCACAACTTAATAAGGTCAGAATAGTCTGATGGCTGAGGAATAAAATTTTCTCCATTTTACCAACTGGGAACTAACACCAGATATCCTGTCTATGGTCTCCGTGGATAAGGGGCCGGACTGGCTTCTGGAATGGCATTAATGGCCAGCGTCTCCACAAATAAGGGCAGCCCCCAGAGCAGTGTTTGATATTTGGCTTTATTTATAAAAATACACAACTTAAATAATATGACACTCTCTATACAAGACATAAACAACTGTTAGATTTAACATTTTCAGTTATTTCAACAAAAAGAAAATATGTAAATTACCTCGTTAGAGCAAAGGGTCTTTTAGAGATTCCGCATTCACAGTCAAAGGGGAAGAACACCCCAAATAATTGTTGCAAGAAGTTCACTCAGTCGGTTCTAGCTCTCCCACAAGCCTCTATTGCACAGTTTACGATCCCACTGCTTGTGAGACCCAACCTAACTTCTCCACACCGCAGACTTAAGCTATTGTCTTCTCTAGAAATGTTGAGTGGGGAAAAAAAATCAATGTACAAACAGTATCAACTGCTTGTACTAAACACCAACCATGAGAAGTAGGAACTTTTCTTCACTTTGCAAAATTTGCAGTGGATGGAGGTTAGCTATATTTTGCAGCTAAATTCATTTTCAAAAGTTTGACACAAATGGCCGACTCAGAGCTAGTTAGATGGAGTTCAGTGGAGAAGAGGGTGACTCCCACTGAAGCCAATTTGAAGAAGAGCCCTGTCACTGTCCAAGGCCACGTCAGCTCGACCTTTCCTAAAACAGGACAGAAATGCCTCCCTCTCCCCTTAGGTTTTGTCATTTTCAGTGAGGAGCAGCTACTTCCATACAGACTCAGCACTTACAGGGACTGTTACTAACTCTGGTTCCCACCAGAGATGCAGCTGCCTCTCTATGGCTCATTTAACTAACAGTGAATTAGGTACCAGTTTATGAGCAGAAAGAAATACTTAACAGTTGAGACTTCAGTACATGAAAATACACGAGAGTGAGCTTCCTGAGGTAAACGTCAGCCTTCAAGAATAGCGTACAATCTACAGAAGTATCGCAGCTTATCTTGGGCAGTCACACAACACCCCCAAGTCTGGACTTTTAAGTTTATAAACTAACAAAACCAAGGGCACATCTATGTAAAATGAAAAAGTGCAATGCTGAAATAAAAGAAATGTTGACAGTTGAGAATATCAACTCAAAGGAGGTGAAAGAGGAGGGCTGGATGGGGGACAGAGGAACAAAAGCAGGGTATATTTTAAAGTGCTTAGGTAGGTTGGTCGATTATTTTGAAATGCCTCTGGGGATTTCTAACAAGTTTCAAAGGTGTTAATTCTGGGTGACTCAGATGGGAATAAATGGCTTTTCTTTAATAATAGCTGTTCAAACTTTTATTCTTTTTTGAAAACCAAAATTAAGAAATTTTTTTTAGCCTTAATGAAATTATTCTGCTAGTTATTAGCCTTAATGATGTATTTTTGAAATTTTAACTGACTAAAGAATTATAGTATGGTGAACTACAAAATACATGGTCACACCAAGAACATAAATTAATACACAAAGGCCTGTAAAGTTTTATATGAAGTTTATATCCAAAAAACTTTTCATTGCAAATCATGCTTTATTACCTCTTTTTATTCTACTTAAGGTTGATGGAAATTAGAAAATTCTGAAGCTTTCTTTTCTTTTACTTAAATGAAGCAGTACACGGCCATCCTTAATGTTAAAAATGAAGGCATTGGGGAATGAACCCAGGACTTCCAGAATTCAGCTCAGGCTAACTTTCAACAACTTACTCATTAGACAAGGATAGGACCAGAAGCACTAAAGAACTCTCTGCTTTACCTGCTCATCTGCACAATATAGCTGAACAAGGTGACCTCTAGTCTTTAACAGCAGTGGGGAAAACTGGCCGCTGCCGTCACACAGAGCGGTCACGTCAACTGGGCTGATGCTGCCGTGCACGAGCCCACATTCATGACTCCCAAATTCTGTTGGAGAACAGATAATTTTAGGTGTGATGACGGCTGTATACAAATTTTAGGCCCAGAGGAACTTTGGGTTGGAGTTCAGCAACACTGTCAACTAGTTCGAATGAAAAGGCCAGAGGAAAATCTCACATCTCAATTCATAAGACAAGCATTTTCAGTATCACTAAGGTGAAAACTCTTACTAGAAAATAATTTTCTTCAAAGAAGCCTGAATGCAGTCACACCAGATGAAGGGGCTTTGGAGAAGGGAAGGGTCTAGAAGACTGTAGTGGGCCCCAATTAAACAAAAGTGGGTTTTCTTCTTAAATAGTAAGGGAGATGCTATTTGGCAGTCAATATGGGGTAACTGTTTAAAATTCAAGGATAGTAACATTTTATATACTTTAAAGCCCAAAATAGTACAGCGTGGTCACAGGTAAAAACATGAATGACATAAAGAGCGGGTGAGACTGGCTCCTTGATCTGAAGAAAGGCCAGCCCTAACACTTGATCCTTATCCATCCCTTGCATACTGAGGAGGACTAACTATGGCAAGAGAATACATTTCACTTTGTGAAGTTAGTTTTCATAATCTATAGTTTAAAACTATTACTACTCAGAAATTTGGAGCCCAAGCAAGAATTCTTGAGATTCCTCCCACATAGAAAGCATTAAGATCTCCTGCTCTAGCACCATCCAAAGGACCCACAGTTGTGGCTAGTCAGTGAGGCCCAGGGGTCAGGTCTTGTAAGGAGGAGACAGTGGCCAGAAGCCAGGGATCAAGAAGAGAGAAATGACAGCATATGTGGTGGAGTAAGAAAACGAGTGGGGAAGAGAAGAGGCAGGAAAGAGGGAACTAACACTAATGAGGAAGCAAGGAGGCCTGACTGGCAGAGTAACATTCCTGCCTTACACCCGTCTGCAGCCAATGATGCAGAAGCAAGGAAAGGCAAGGCTTGGTCTCACACCGGCACTGTTCCGAGGCATCAAACACGCTGGAGCCAGGTGGGCAGTGCCTCAGGCCTTGCCATCCAGGGACGCGTATACAGTCTGGCGTGGCCCTGGGGTCTGACTCCTAACTTCTACTGCTCCCTACATGCATTCTCAGGGTGGAGAAGCCTGCAAGTCCAGGGGCAGCACTAACACTGCATTACCAGCATGTGGCTGCTGCGCCTGGCTGGTTTAGGACTGGCTTGTCTCTCCCCCTGGTGGTTAAAAAAGGGGAGCAGACTGAATGTCACAAAGGGCTGTTCAATTCAGAAACGTATTGCATCCTTCCACAAGCTTCCAAAGGACTGCCAAGCATTCATTAATAGTAGATTGATGGTAAATTGTAGATCCAGGACCTGAGGCGCTCACTGTGAAGGGAGCAGTTTGCTTGGGAGGTCACACTAAATTTTCAGCTTTTAATATTGTCTGCTTCCATTTTTGTGGTTTCTTCTGATGATAAATTAAAAGAAAAAAAAGTGAAGGGCCCTGTAGTCCTCCGTCCCTCCTACAGAAACCCCAGGGACTTTCAGGAGCCAAGGGCCTAAGGGATGCCGCAGCAACAGCTTACAAATGAAAGAGAAAAGAAATTCAGATTACTTGGAAATAAGAGATGAGTGACACGTAAGTGGCCCTTGGGCCTCTTCTGTACAATGCCCACGAAATGACAACCGCCTGAATTATGGACTCACAATGACAGCACATGAGTGAAAAGCACAGAACCATTTGGTGGTGGGAAAATCCATGCTGGCTGGTTCACCTCTATAAAAGTCTGCTTGCTCTCGTGGCCCACACTGTTTTCTCTCTTTCCTACTTGATGCTTTTCAGAAGGGCTGTCCGGGCATTCACAACTGCTTTGAAGGCATCTTCACTGCCAGGGGCCACACACTTGTCAGGGTGCAGAAGCACAGCGAGTTTCCGATACGCTTTATTGACTTCATCCCTAAGGAAAGCAGCAAAGTTCTATGTTAGTAATAGCCACTGCATTTCAGTTATCTGGATAAAATACCTCTTGCTGTAAGCACATTCCCTTTCTCAAAGGTTGGACTAAAGGACTGGGAAACAAACAAACAACAAATCATGTGTCCTAAAGAAGTAGGAAAACTTGCAATGCAAAATGAGTAGGTAAATGCTAATGGACCTCCTGGTAAAAGAACCATCAGGGGAAACTAGAGGTGCTCACCACCACGCAGGCATTCAGGTGAGGAAAAGAAGCCCCTGGAGTTGGTCTGAGAAGGTAGGGCTCGGGAAGCTGTAGGGGTACAGCCATGGGGAGAGGACCAGTGGACATCAGGAGAGAAGCATGGACTCTGCTTGGGGGTCTATGGGGAAACCATGCCAGGAAGCACAGGAAACAGAGTTGGCCAGGGAGCAGGCATCAGAAAGGCCCCTGAAGGCATGACAAAAAAATTGGACAAAAAAAAAAAAGAGTAACAATGGCAGGTGTTTCATAACAAAATGATGCTGGGGAAACTGTTGTTGAAATTAGCACTCAATCAAGAGGTTGCTACGATAACCCAAGCAAGAATACAAGAGTTTAGATTATGGTGCTTATGGGAGCACCAGGGAAGATAAATAAAGTATGAAGAAAGATACAGCAGAAGAGATGATAAACTGTGGAGACTTCTCTACAGACTGTGGAGAAGACATGAGGGAGAGGGGTTGGAAAGAGTTGCAGTGTTATGGGGAACTTTAGGCCCTGAGAAGTTGGTAATACCACTGCCCAAGACAGGGACTCCCTGAGACCACAGAAGAAACAAGAAATTAATATTATGCAGAGAGGAAGGAAGAGTAACAGTGAACATTCCCCAGAGGCCAGCAGAACTGCAGGAGACCCCTAGGCCTGACTCCTCTGGGGGGAACAGGTTTGAGAGGGGTCTGGAAACCACATGTCCTGTCCTTCCACTTTCTCTTTACCATCTTAGCCATCACGCCTCCCAGAGGTTTCTATGTGCCCGAGCGCTCCCCTGGCCAGATGACCTCTGTCTGCCAGAGAGCTTACTTCCCGCCTTCCTTGCGATTCAGGGTTCCAGGGATCTTCTAAGCATGTGGTATGGTGCTTCCCCAACACCCTAGCTATTAGCCTTCATTTTTTTATCAGAAGGATTTCTAATTTGCCTCTCCACATTAGGGAGATGGTTTGAAATCCTGGATGTGACAGTCTTGTGTCAACTTGGAGACACTGAGGTCGTGGGCCATGTTACTTGTTCAGGGTGCAAGCACATATCCTAAGGCTTTTTCTGTTTAATGCTTTTAGATGCATCCTTCTGAATTTTCTTCTTTTAACCTTGCATGTAGCTGTTTCACATACGTAGTTTTGATGGTAGCTAACAAGAATCTCAGTCTCCTTCTGTGAAGAACTTGAACTGCCAGAATTCTTATTTTTCCAAAAGACCCCCATTCCTTCAGACATCTTCCCCATGGGTGAGGCCTGGACAGGGCCCTGCTAGTGACTCTGCTTCCTGAGGGAGCATGTTCACATGGACTTAGGAATTAGGCCTGGGCCTCTGCACTAACAGTGCCTTTCAAGAATTCTGAGTAGCAGGGAGATTTTCAAGGAAAAGTTTTGGAAAAACAAGCCTGAGTGTCATATGTAACAAATACATTAACTCTGCTGAAGATGAGGATTTTCTTAAAATGCAAGAACAATAAACACAGCAGCAAAAAAACATGAAAAATCCTCTGTAACTTAAAAAAAATGTTTTTGGTTTGCCCAAAAGTACTCAAAAGCACAGAAAATTAGTTTGATAAATGCTGAGGAAGAAAGAGAAGTACCTGTTTATATCGGTTAAAGATATGGAACGTGTGGAGGTCCTGATAGTTCGGTACATTCCAATTAACCACAGTAAATAAAGAAAGAGCTAAGAGTTTCTTTTTTCCTTAATGAGTATTATTCTAAGTTAATTAATAAGTAATAGCTTTTTTGGTTGTATGGTCACTATCCCTTGGAGATGAAATGGAAGACTTCAGAATGAGACAGTGGAAAAATTCAGAATGAGACTACAAGTGCCTAAAAGTACATGTAAAAGACACCAATTAACTCCGGGTTATGCATGTGAGCCCCCCTGAATGCCCTCACATGTTCAAGCACCCTCAATAAGGTGGGAAGTTGAGGGTAACTGTCTCTCACTGTTCCTCTTCCTTCTGGACTTAAAGACATTCTGGGAGACCAAAACAGGTTAAGAGATACTTAATGCTGACATGGTATTTCAAGACACAATTTTTTCTTTTGTGGGGATCAAGGTGAAAAAGTAGGAAAAAAGCAAGAGGAGAAAAACTGTGGGCAAAATAGAGAGCTCTGAGCAGTCTAATAGATACTATGTATAATAATAGTAGTAGTATATGGTTAAAAGTTATATAACCATATTGAAAAATGATTTATTCTTGCACGAACAACAAAAAATAGTGATTTTATTTTTCTTCTTCCTGAATGATTTTTTTGGCATTTAAAATAAAGTAATTTAACCAAAATATATACACAGATGAAGAACTGGCAGGATTTTTGAAAGAAACAGCAAAAACAGACAGCAAGAGGTAGACACATCAAGTTCAATTCTGCCACCTGCTCCTTGGCGCCTGAATACGTGATTAGTCTCATTGAGTTCTGATTTTCCAACATCTAAAATAAAATGTTTAGACAAGTTGATTGCTAATATTCTTTCCTCCTCTAAATGCTATGACTTAAGAATTCTCTTCTGTAAGGTTATTTTATTAAGGTTACATTGGCTTCAAGGCTCTTATTTAATACAAACATTAGCAGACATGCATAAACACAGTAAACCAGTTCAGAAAGAAGTTATGTGTGTACACGACACAGTTCCCTTATCAGGAAACCATGTCCTCTATTTTGTTCCTCTCATATTCAGTTACTTCAGTGAAGGAGAGTGGAGAGTCATTAAATAATTTATTTTTACAAATCTTCATAATTCTAGGCAACTACAAGATCTCTAGCCCCTATAATTTGGATGATTGTGTTTCTAAGAGAACTCAGCACTCAGGACCCTAGAGCACTGCTTACCTGGAGGCTCCAGGTTTGACTCCCAACATGTCCCAACTGTCTTTACTGTTTCGAATTCTGCGGATGGTGTCTGCTTGTTCTTTGGTGAAACTAGCATTGCTATTGGTGACAGGACGTTTCCCGCCATTTTCACATAAATCAACTATGGATAAATAGAAAGTCTGAAAAAAAAAAAAAAAAAAACAAAAACACCACACATCCCAGTAGAGAATTAATCTTGGGAAAACAGGAATACCTTTTAAGCATCAACTTAAGTAACTTTTAATTGCAATAACTTAAAATTCATGATAAAGCTAGTATGTACTTTGGAAGATTTTTTTTTCTTTTGTTACGTATAAGAAATATATTATACAACATTATGTAATTTGTAAATATACACGTGTATATATGTGTGTATATATATACTTAAACACTTTACTTAAAAAGTAAAAGGAATAAAATTTAAATGACTCATAATCCTACTCTTAGATAATTACACTTAAGGTTAAAATGTAGTAGATGAACATTGTTAAAAAATTTCAAATAGGCTTAAAAAATGTGTAAAATGAAAACTATTTCCCCTCAAGTTCCTCTCTTCAATGTAACCACTGTTAATAATTTAAAAGTATTGGGCCTCCTTGGTGGTGCAGGGGTTAAGATGCAACCTATGAAGCTATCCACAGCCACTGTAGCACGAGTTCAATCCCTGGCCAGGGAGCAACCCACATGGCACAGCAGACCTCTCCTGTCTCGCCCGCTGCTCCCCTCAGCAGTGTATTTCGTCCATCTGCCTGTTCTGTTCCCCACTCTGCCTCTGGTGAATCCTCTCACCCTCCCCATACCTCTGGCCTGTACCCCAGTTCTTATATACATAAATAAATCTTTTAAAAAAAATTTTAAAGTATCCTTCCAGAAAGTTTTACTATTTAATCTCTGTTTACAGAGATGATTATATTATTATAATTATTACAATGTAAATAAGACAAAATCAAGTTATTGCATGACATAAGTCTCTAGTAAGTGTATAGGCTGCAAAGAAAAGATTTGTTAAATTGAACCAGCAGGAAAGCACTACTTGTAAGTACTTAATTACAGAATAATTTTATTATACTGTTAGTCTTTTTCTTTAACAGACTAATTTATCCATTAGTTCTACTCAAGATTTATCTAAAGGATAAAAGTATCCCAAAAGTGGCCAGAGTTCATAGATGTTTCCTTGTGCTAGGTATCAAAAACTTTTCTTCTAGGCTATAAGTTATACTAAAATAAAAATACTCAGATTTCTGAGCACACAAGTATTCACTCTTAACACATATAGCTTTAGAAGAACAGCTATGGTATACTACACAGAACACTAAAATTAAAGCAAAAATCTTTACTATTTTATTATTTCCATGTGTGAGTTCTACCCATAATGGAGTAATGGATACTGGATGAGGTCTCCTGCCATATAAACTACCATAAAAGTGAAAAAATATTTATAGGCAGTGGACAAAGCAAGTGCAAGACTGTACCTCAGTTTTCCAACCTGGAACCTACTGCCTGTTCATGTCACAGATGACTGGAGTCTATGATGCCACTGAGCTAAGGACACACAGATTAGAGCTAGAGGATGCTGAAGTGGCTAGACTGCAGATCAGGGTGCTCAAGAGGGAGTTGTGTAGAGCTTGGCCCCTGGAATACACGTAGGGGGAGTTCCCCACTAGTCTGTAGCTTAGAGCTAGCCCATACATATAGAGGGTGAAGTGACCTGAGGCTAGCCAGGTAAGAGCTACTACAGCACTCAGAACAGAACTGATGTACTGGAGTCATGTGCTGGGGAACTGATGTGCTGGGGAAAGCCATCCTGGGGACACTAGAGTCTGACTTGCCAGAATAGAGAGACGGCCCTAGTACTTCATTAATACCCCCAGTATCCAGCTGAGACACCAGGGAAAGGTCATGCCTCAGGAGTTAGACTCACCCTAACAAAACCTAAACCAAGAGGTTTTAAGATCTGTAAGACAGAGGTGAGTCTAGCCAAATTAGAAGGCCTTGGGAAACCCTTTACTTCCTTAAGATCCTTGCTATTAAAGAAAAAAGAAAAAAATCAAATCTACGCAAGTTCATGTAATCTGCCCACAATTAAACAGCCTGCTGAAGCAAGAATCAACATTATTCTGAGGAAAACAAAAGAATATATGTATTTACCCTCTACAGTGTATTAGCCACAATGAATGGTGTTAAATCAAAACTCACTACTCATACAAAGGAACGAGAAAATGTGATCCATAGTCAGGAAAAAAATAGTAGTCAATAGAAACTATTCCCAAAATAGTTCAGCTACTATACTTAGCAGACAAAGACTTTAAAGCAACTATTATAGCTAATTCAAAGAGGCAAAGGAAAATGAATTCAAAGAATTAGAGGAAAACATACTCTTAATGAGTGAACAGATAAAGGATCTCAAAAGAAAACTAGGAAGGACAAAAAAATGCAGATTTTAGAAATGAAAGACACTGACTGAAAAATTCACCCATTGGACTTAGCAGCTTGATGAAGTCAAATCAACAGAATATATGCAATCTGAAAAATACAGAAGAAAAATAAACATCACTTTAAGGACTGTACAAAATCAAATGGTTGAATATATACTTAAAGTCCCAGAAGTAAAATATGGAGAATAGTGCAAAAAAAAATTGTTTTGGTAAAAAAAAAAAAAAAAACCCGAACGCCAAACCTCACCATATTTGATGAAAAAATACCTGCCCACAAATTCAAGAAAATCAACAAACTCCAAATAAGATAAATATAAATATAAATAGATCTATATTTGGGCACGGTCCAGCTGCTGAAAATCAAAGATAAGAGAAACTCTGAAAGTACCTGGAGGGGGAGAAAAAGACAGACCATCTGCAGAGTGAGTGAGTGTCGGGACGGGCGCCGACCTCTCCTGAGGCACGACTGAGGCCACAAGAGAACAGAGCAATATCTTTAAAGTGCTGAGAGAAATTTAATCTCTAACAGTTATTGTTTCCACCTCCTGGACAAGTCATTACTACTCCTAGATGCCCTTATATCTGAAATGAGAACACCAGGCTCAAGAGTCTCAAATGAGATGAAACACGTAAACTTTTCTAGAACTGTAAAATACTATTCAAATGGTTAAGTGTCACTGTGGCACATATATGGTTAAAAACGCCCATACTCGAAAGAATACAAAGTGGCAAACCAGCATCAACCTTATCTGGTCTTGAAATAGAAGCTACTGATGCCCAATTCAGTCTGTCAGGCAAGGATGAAGCTTGTCTTCTAGTAGGAGGAGTGACATCTTGTGAGAAGGAAATTCAGCATAAAATCCCACTCAATAATTAAGAACAACTCTTTATAGTATAGCTACATTATTTGAAATGCTAAAAATTCCCAAAATATCAGATATATTCGCAAGAAAAAATGCATTATTCATATCACCACTTACTTCCAAATGTATCTATAATTAAGAGTTGACTTTACTTTGTAACATTGTTTTAAATAGCCTCCTCCTTCCTTTAAAATTATTCAAGATTAGTAACTCTGAAAAAGTGACCATCCATTCAGGCTGCAATGTGAGTAGATTCTTCTATTATCTACCTAATTGGTAAGACCTAATTTTTGTATAGCTGGTTGGATTCTGCAATTACAATTGTCTATTGACTAACTGCATCCCTTTGGGCTACAATATAGAACTCTATTAGCTATGACAAGGCGATTTTGCCAAAGTAATGCTTCCATTTGATTACAGATTATAAATCTCACACTACGAGCCAAAGGTAGTTTTAAAGAAAATCTTTGTCTTGCTAAAGGAGGGTATCATAACCAATGTTAAACTTCACAGTCATCAGAATCATCTGAAGAGCTTTTTCAAAATTTAGATTTCTCATTGCCATTACATTGGGCCCCAGAAGGCACAGAGCTCAGCAATTGGTATTTTGGAGAATTTCCCCTGGGAATTTTGAATAGCAGCTAGGCTGGACCAGAGCTAATCAAGGGCATTTCTTTTTCTCTCATTCTCATACCAGCTTCTGAAAAGAAAGAACTATTCTAATGAGAAATTCTGAATTAGCTTTTTGCTTTCCCTGACTTAAAATTTGGTATGGTTAGCCTTGACACAAAATGACAAAATGCTAGGGTACCTGGAACATCTCATTGATTCCTTCTCCAGTCTGTGCTGAAGTTTCGAAGTACAGGAAACCTTTACTTTCGGCCCAGAGACGGCCCTCGCTCTCATCTACACAGCGGTGCTTGGTACAGTCGATCTGCAATACAAAGTTGAGAGAGAAGATTCCAACCTGTCCCACTAGAACAGGCCCTTTCTGGGGCCCTTTCTGGACTTATTCTATGCAAAACAACAACAAAAAACTATTTTTAATGATAAAATTACCAAGAGCAATAAAGACCAAAAATTACTAATACTGAACATAGATTGATTTTATGTGGCAAAACTACCAGTGTCTGCAACTACACTTCCCACTGTGCCCTATAAGAAAACTGCAGCTGTTCGTCTCTAAAAACTAGCGTGGTGATGTTACCACACTCGAGGCCACACTTTCCGCACACCACGGTTCACCTATACGGCCCCTCCTCCAGTCAGGTCAGAGCTCCACCATTAGGCCCCACCTCTCCTACTCAGTTACCAATATCCTTCCCCAAGAGTGACACCAGAAAGAAATGGATAAAAATCATGCTATATGAGATTTGTAAAAATTATTCTAGTTTTAGAGACATGTTTGGAAGGTTGTGTAAGGAATTTTCTGTTGTGTACCCTAAAACTCCGAGCAGTAAGAGGAATGAATCTAGAAAGTTGAGCATACCATTCCCAAAGAAATTACCTTATTGGCACACACTACAAATACAATATTCTCCATGTTTCCATGAGGTCCAAGATCCTGCTTCATTTCTGCCAGCCATGCATCAAGGGCATCAAAGGAATCTTTCTGCCCAACATCATAGACCAGTATCACACCCTGTGTGTCCTTGTAAAACTCGTTGCGAACCTTCACATGAAAGAATAAAAGCACAAAATGCAGACTTTTTGATTTTATAAAAATGCCTTTCATAGTCACCAACTTCACAAAGTGTGCTCTTGTGTGCAGCCGTAGTATTTGCGTCATGGTGTCGCAGTATCTACTGGTCTTTAGGGGACATCTTATAAATCAGCGTAATGTGATTTTAAAAACCTGTTAGTACAGAGGACTTGTAATGGAAACAACAGCCTCCTGCCCCACCCCTCCTTACCTCCAGTTCCTCTCCCCAGAGGCAATCAGTCTTTAATTGTTGTTAGATCTTGAAAGAACACAAATCTTATGAAGTGAGGCTCTTAGCAAGAACTCATAAGGTGAGTGAACAATTAAAAAGAACTTAAAGTGAAAGTGACACCAATATCAGTAATAGGTACAGCCACTTATCTATCACATCCCAAAGCTGGCTTCCCTGGAATCTTGGGCAGAGCTTCCTGTGAGTCTTAGGTCTGTAAACAAATTCTGGAATTCCAAACTCAGAGCCCAATGTAATATAATGTAAAAGAGGACCAGCTCTGGAGTTAGATGGATCTGGGTTCACACTTCCTAGTTGTGTGATCTTGGGCAAGTCACTTAACCTCTCTCCATGTCAGTTTCCTCATCTGTAAATGGGGATACTACTACTTACTTCACAGGATTATTATGAGGATTAAATGAGAGCATGAAGGCAGAGCACCAAAAGGCACCTGAACAATAATGTGTATTAGGCCCTTTTCCCTTCCTTCTTGGCATTCATTCTCTGACTGTCCTCCTCCGAACTGTCCTCCTAGAAATGGCCACTTGCCCCTGGGGCATGTCTACAATATTGGGCAGCATGAAGCACAGGGCAAACTAAAGTGGCAAAGGCAATGATAGGTTAAGTGAGTGATGGGCAATTGCAGATTGGGGGTTTTAGGCCAAAGTCCAGGAAGAACCTTGACAGTGATGTACTATATGTTCTTTTCAGAAAATTCCAGTGTATACCCAGAAACACTGACTATGTACTAAGAAATGGGGCCTCCCCGGTGGTGCAGAGGTTGAGCACTGGGTTGCAAAGCTGCCCACAGCCTCTGCAGTGCCGGTTCGATCCCCGGCCGCTAGGCGAGGGTCCCACATGGCGCGCAGACCTCTCCTGCCGCACCCGCTGCTCCCCTCAGCAGTGTACTTCGGTCCTTCTGCCTGTTCTGTTCCCTGCTCTGGCTCTGGTGAATTCTCTCACCCTCCTGCGCTTCTGACTGTACCCAGTGCTTATATAAATAAATAAATAAATAGATAGATAGATAAATAAATAAATAAATAAATCTTAAAAAAAAAAAAAAATGAAGATAACATGTACACATCAGGCATGAAGTGTCTATAGGTTTCTGAGCAAAGATACTACCTGAACCAAGAATGAAATGCCTGTTAATTTGCAGATTCTTATGACGTTATTCCCTAAAATTAAAACCAACAAAATCAGAAAAAATTGAAAGTGATGAAGACAATGTCTTCCTCCCTCAGTACTCAGGCCCTGTGCCCTCCTGCTGCAGTTACAACAGGAGTCTCCCGTCTTTCCTGAAACTCTTGCTACCTTGGCTCCCAAACCTCATTTTCAGGGTCTTAACTGATCTCATTCACCAACTCCTTTTCTCTCCATTGTTCCCTCCTGGCTGCCACCACAATCCCCCAAATCTTGCCATAGCGCCTTGTCCTTTTTCTTTTTTTTTTTTTAAATCCCAACTCAGCAACAACAACCACTTGGACAGTTTCCAGTGTGAAAACCTCCAAGATGAGCCCTTTCATCTCAGCTTCCGGACCCACATCTGGTGTCCCTCCACGGGATGGGAAGCAAGGCGCTGCACCCTCACAATGCACCATCATTGCATTACCCTCTGGGCCTTCCAAGTATAAGTACTTGAGACATTTTTTTTTTTTAATAAAGAGGGTTTTATTTATTTATTTTTTAATAAAAGATTTATTTATTTATTTATACAAACACTGGGTACAGTCAGAAGAGTGGGAGGGTGAGAGAATTCACCAGAGCCAGAGCGGGGAGCAGAGCAGGAAGACTGAAGTACACTGCTGAGGGGAGCAGCGGGCGGCAGGGGAGGTTTGCGCACCATGTGGGACCCTTGCCCAGCGGTTGGGGAATGAACTGGGGCGCTGCAGAGGCTGTGGGCAGCTTTGCAACCCAGCACTCAACCGCTGCGCCACCAGGGAGGCCCTTGAGACATTTTTTTTAACTGACTGACTGAACGACTGAATGTGCTATAGTAGAGAACAAAAGTAGAGACCGAAGGGGAAAAGAATGAATTTCAAAATGTAGATCATGATGTCCAGTGGGAGATTTGTGTATAAAGAGATTTAGCAAACGCAAAGGATTTCTCTTTCAAGAGACTCAATCAAGTTCACATCTGGACTCAGCAACTAGCTACCTATATAATCTTGAGTAAGTTTTGTTTTTTTAAATTACCTTGGGTCTTAGTTTTCTTCTTTGTAAAATGAAAAGTTCAAAGTAGAGGTTTCAGTTATCCCCGATGGTTCAATTATCCTTGTCTCCCAAACAGGTTTGAATGTTAGTCCTAACAGACTTGCTACATCCAAAGTTTAATTAAATAGGATGCATGGGGAATTGGGATTATCTCATTCTTCAGGCAGAGATGGCGTATTTTCTAGCTTATAGGTTTGAGAAAACTGTTATTTAAGCTGCAGAAAATTTCTCTAGACCCTGTAACACCAGAATTCAGCCATGAGCCCCAGTGAAAACAAGACTGGTGGTAAGATCCAAGCCATGCCACTCCCTTGCAGTCCTCTCTCTGACACTTTCTAAGATTGCTACCTCACATACTGAGTGGACTGCACTTTCTCAGCTCTGATGGAGGATAGACACCAAGGTCTGAGGAGGCCATCGGTGGTGAGAATCGCTGTGGCACTTCACAAGAGTGTGCTGAGCACAGGCACCCTTTGGCCAACGTGGGGCTGAGGAAGATGAAGGTTTCTGACTTGTCAAAAGGGAGAAGTTGAGATATAAATAGCAAATGTTTGATAAAAAAAGGGCAAGATTAAGCTCATTAAGGCTAATTCAGAGAAAAAGTATCTCAGAAGTGGTGACTTCAAGAACCTTCTATTAATTATACTTCTATTTTTATGAGTTGCTGGGGGAAAAAAAGCTATTATGATTTCAGTGTCTAATGATAGAAAGTAATAGAAACTCAGTGTTTTCCACTAGTCAGTATCTAGAATGCTGTGTTTCCTTCTCAGCTCCCTATCAGCTACCTAGAGATTATTCACAGAGGATGTGACAGGGATAGCTGTGGCAGCAATAAAAAAAAGTGTTACCTGGTAAGGAGCAGATTAACAAATATTAGAAAGGCTCTCATGTAGAATCACAGCCTGTGTTGCTCCCCAAACAAGACCAGAATCAGTGGTGGAGTCAAAGAAAGACAATCTTCATAAAGGAGAAATGGTCAAATGGAGTTTTTAATTCCATAAAGGATCAGCACTTGAAGCTGATCATGACATTCTCCGAGCTCTTTAGTCTGCTCCACTCAAAACTGCCCTGTGTACTCTATCACCCTTGGGTTCCTAACAGCCTACGTGACTCCTACTTACCCATCAACAGTCAGTTTAAGTGTTCTTTCAGCAGGACTTCCTGCACTCCCAGGTAAGCTGCACCTGGGTACTGAGCGCTCTGTCATCTGTTTAACATGTGTCTTTTCTGACATACTTATGCCCACGAGAACACGGGCTGTGTAGTTCTAGTATCCAGTATCAGAGATTTTGGGATCTCTTCCTAAACCCACTGACAGTACTGGATGTACTGGATATAGGTTTCTTCAAAAAAAAAAAAAAAAAAAAAAAAAGGCTTTCTTACCTCGTAGAAGAAGGGGTGTCCAGCCATATCAAAGATGTTGACTTTGATTTCTCGGTCTCTGACCTGTACCCTGCAATGGATAAATGAAAATAATTCCAAAGAAGGTCATGGTTTCTGCATTATCATTCATCATTTATTTCATTTACAAATTTCATAGTGTATATGTATGAAATTTTAAGAAGACTTTCTTAGTGCCTCTTCTTGATTCCATTTAATCTTTAAAACAGGAGTTGGCAACTTAACAGATGATCCTGCACCTAATTTTAAGAACAATGAACTTGAACATAAGCACCCAACCTCATTTACCTTCAATTTACGTCAAGATTCTTCAGTCCACACCTCTTACCTAACAAATGGCAGCTATTACTATGGTACAAAGAAAAAATTATTTGGGACAAATAGGAATAAATTAAAGTAAAAGAAAATGTTTTATTACTCTTAGCAAAACATCTTAATTACTATGGTCATGCCTGGTTACCATGTTGTACAATAACAAAGGCCTATTATTATTGACATCTATTAAATTTTCTTGTGAAAAACTGAAAACAGAGAAAAGAACAAAAAGTAACAATCATTCATATTACAGTTAACTACTGTTTTTGTTTTTTTTTTTTTTTTTTTTTATAAAGGCATGTTTTATTTATTTGTTTGTTTGTTTGTTTTGTTTATACATGCACTGGGTACAGTCAGAAGTGCGGGAGGGTGAGAGAATTCACCAGAGCCAGAGCGGGGAGCAGAGCAGGCAGAAGGACCGAAGTACACTGCTGAGGGGAGCAGCGGGCGGCAGGAGAGGTCTGCGCGCCATGTGGGACCCTCCTCCGGTGGCCGGGGAGCAGCCGGGGATCGAACCGGCGCCACAGAGGCTGCGGGCAGCTTCGCAACCCAGCGCTCAACCGCTGCGCCACTGGGGAGGCCAAGAGTTAACTACTGTTAATGTCATAGTATATTTACTTTTTTTAGTAAAGAAATTATCAGAAAATTATTGAACAGATAATTCAAGCAAAAGAAAAAAAAAATACAAAGATAAAAGTTTCAAAGTTATACCAAATCTAACACCTAGGAAAAAAAGTTCATTAATATACATGAACATCTCTGCAGACCTTTTATTCACAGGTAAGGCTGATAAACATATTTTTCTAAAAATGGAATTCTACTATTTAAAAATAAAAAGCATAAAATTTACATTTTATTGAATTTAACAAAAGCAAAAGAGACTGAAGTGATCTCAGAATTATTATTAAGCTTTTAAAAACAAATGTTTCCTCATCACAGGAAATATTATTTCAAAAAGAGACTATTCACAATTAGCTACAGAGTAGAGTCACTATGTTTTTCAAGTAAACATGTTTCAATTGACACAGCATTGGTATGTCTCCTATGGACTATGAGGACATTAGCACTTGCCTCAATGTCCCTATATCACCCCTGGCATATTTATTATTATTCCCTTGTTGATGTTTATAACATCCACTTTCTGTTTGAACCTTAATTACTACAGTAGTTTTACATTACTTGCATATTTAAATCAAACCAAGCACTAATCATCTTATGAATTCTTCATTCCTGACCATGTTTCATACATGACCATATTTCATCCATTCTAAGATGCATATTGCTTTCATTTTGACATCTGTAAAATCAAGATCCAGCTTATAGAAACAGAGTGTGAGGAAAGCAAAACAAAACAAAACAATAACAAGAATTTGAGAGCAACCAGAGAAATCCCATACAATAATTTATACTAGAACATTTTACCGTAAAAAGATAGGAGCTGAGAAGGGATGGGCTGAGAGTCAGGAAGTAACACAAATGTGTTCACACATTGAAACAAAGGAGGTCAATTTAACTCAGAAGCCAAAGAGGGGAAATTACCTTAAGAAAAATGGTAACACATTACCTTGAGGCAGCACTTTCCCAAGGTGTGGCCTAAATGCCACCTGTATCACAATTATGAGCCGGAAATTGTCAAAAATTCAGATTACTGGGCACCACCTCAGACCCAGTAATCAGAATCTTAGTGGTTGGGTCCTAAGAATCTGCACATTTCCAAGTTGTACAAATAATTTAGAATGCCGAAATTTGAGCTTTGCCGTACTAAAAACAGGAAGGATGGAAAAGGCATCTACTATTTTGATGGCCCAAAATTCTGCCTCCCAACTTTCTCCTCCTAGTGAAGATTATTCACAGAAGATGTAGTTGAAATGAGCTCTGTCATCTCCTGGATCCCACCCTGCTGACCACAGCTAGCTGAGCTGGAGAAAGGGATCCCCCCTGGGACAACTAAAACCTTCCCTGGATTTCCGATCTTGGGAATATTCGTTCTGACTCCTCTCTAAAAGGAATTTTACAATGTGAGCCTGAGAGCTGCTGGCAGCTGTGCAAAGGAAGCCAAAAGGCAGAAAGAGAGAGATGTAGTAAAATGATTTGGTTTTAATCTGTCCTTGGTTCCAGGCATCTCTGAGGCCTTGCCTCATCCCTGTAATTGGATTAAGTGAATTGATTCTTAGCCTTTTCTTCTCCTTGAGTTGGTTTGAGTTGGGTTTTTGTCAATTACATCCTCTTGAATCATAAGGGACAACCATGTGATTGTTGGATTGAATTGTTGAATGAACCACAGTTCTAAGGCATAATATGGTAATTCTCATTTCTTAGTTACTTAAATGGATTAAAAGCAAAACTGCCTTAAATAGGATATCCTACCATCTCGGTGATAAAATTCTGTGCCCTGAAGAACAGATAGCCCCACCACTTTAGTTTGCCTTCTTAAATTTTCCTCTTATATTCTAAACTTGCACACTTTCTGTTTAGATGTATCTTAACTTACCACACAAAAAATATTTATTGTGTGTCTACTATGTACAAACATGCACCAGGCACTTAGAGAGAACAGCCTCTTCTTCACAGGGCTTATAATTAGCAGGAGACATTAAACACATGCAAACAAAATAAGACAAGGCAGTTTGTGGTAATTATCACAAACAACATAAAGAAGCTTAAGATTTCTGTCATTTATAACCAAAAAGAGTCCTGACTGATAAAGGGGGTGTTTAGAAGGCCTTATGGGAACAGGAGTACTTCAGACCTTGAAGAAACTGACAAGTGGCAAGATGAGGGGGGAGAACATTTCAGGCAGACAGAATGAATAAGGGCACTGAGGTAGGAAAATGTGAGGGCAGCAGTTCCCTGCTGATAGAGCAAAGCATGCAAAGGAACCCAGTGAAAGAAGGAGAGAGGCAGGTTAGGGGCAGAATAGTGAGTGCCTAGAATTCCACCTTTATGGAGAGTGCGGTCTTCTTAATTCTACACTTTGGCAATATTATTTCTTGCTAATGTAGCTATCTCCCCGAGCTCAACCTACCTTTGATTGAGCACCAAATGAATACCCAATTTACCCAATTTTACTCTTCCAGATCATTTCTGCTAGATTCCAATAGGCTATAAAGGCCATGGATCACTAAAGTCCTTAGAAAATTTGCCATACAGTAGTTATACATTTTAGAGAGAATATTTCAAATTCTCCAAAAACATAATGACTGACAGAACAATTTTATATAGAAACATGTTACCTGCAAACATGTTGACTTGCTCATGGCTGCTGACTCTACACCCAACATACAACTAGAATCTAATGCCCAATGATGAGCAAATGACACGATCATTACTTATCTGTAAAAAGGCCTCTTATCTTTCTCTTTCTGAATTTATCTTCACAGTCTCTATTTCAAGAAAGATAATTTTAGAAGGGTTCTAATTTATAACCCCCTTCAAAACAATATACTCACTTTGTGACTCCATAGTCAATTCCAATTGTTGCAAGGTATTTAGACACAAATCTTTTCTCACAGTATCGCTTTATAATACAGCTCTAGAAAGGTAAAAAATACATGTCATTAGTAAATAAGCTCTGGGAAAGTATACAAAATAAGCACATTTTCTCATTATGATTCCTTCATTCACCACTATGGAAGTCTTTTCAAAAGTCAAAATTGTAAAATAACTGAAATGTATGCTCAAAGTGAAAATTTTAAAGAAACATTTTTATATTTTTCCCTTAATACCATATATGGGTCTTTTTCAGTTTGTTTATTTATTTATTTATTTTTGTGGAGCGGCTGGGGAGCAGCTGGGGAACGAACCAGGGCAGCGCCCCGCAGCCCAGGGCTCAACCGCTGCGCCACCAGGGGAGGCCCTCTTTTTCAGTTTAGTTCTCAATCCTCCTTTCTTCTAAAGATCTCTTCTTCCACTTTCAACAATATTACTAAAATATCTGTTTAGCCCTGCTCTCCCCACCAAGACCAGATCCACACCTCCATCCACGAGCTTCTATTCAGATGTCCATTAACATGTCCCAAAACATAAAAAAAAACTCATCCTGCTAACATCCTAGTCCTGCTAAAAACAACACCATTTTATCAATCACAGAGGATTAAAATAGTAAAGACATATTTGATTTTGAGTCCTTCTAATCTTCTTTTGACTGTTTCTTCCCTCTTTCTTTCATCCTGATTCCCATTGATAACACGTTGCTTTAGCTCCTCATCATCCACTCCAAGAAAATTGTAGGGAATTCTTTATTGGCCTTTCTGCTTCCTTTTCCGGTCAACTTTAATCAATATGGCTCACTAATAACATTATTCATTTCTGAACTCAAAAATCTTCAGTGGTTAACAAAATCCCTTTGTCCTTGATTCAAGGTCCTCCATAATCTGGTCAGCTCCCTGGCCGGCCACGGATCAAACTCATGCTGCAGTGGCTGGCAGTACCTTGAAAGTGCTGTCTTTAAGCCCTGCGCCACCAGGAAATGCCCCTTAAGCTCTATTTCTGCAAAACCCCAGACCTTGGCTTACTGACTTTCCATCTACTTGGAATACATTTTCTCCCTTTTTTCCAAATCTTACTGATCCTTTAAGGTCCAGCTCAAGTGATGAGCACCCTGTTTATGAGCACCCTTGCCTGCTCTAGACTCCTCTAGCACTCTGCATATGTCTTATTACACACTCATGCGCACTGTGTATTTGCCATCGGTCAACACTACCTTCTATTGTTAGTTATCTTTTCACATGTGTATATTTGCCTTATCTCTTCAGCTAGACAGCAAACTATCTGAGAGCAAGCCCCAGTATTTTACTTATTTATATTGTTTGCAGCAATTTGCTTCGCACCAAGAAAAACAATTTAAAATGACAAATATTATTAGTAAATAGTTAGCACTCACAAAACTTATAATTTACTTGAAGTGCTGATAATGGAGTTATTCTGCTCAAATCCTTTCATGATGAACCATAATCTAAGTTAAATAGAACAGTTACTTTAAAAAGTACTTAATAAGTTCATGGTGAACTGGAGGTAAAACTTCATTGGCGTCACTACTCCTTAGAGACTAACTGCACTTTTAAAAACACTTCATAGCTTAAAAGCACTTCTCGGATGTTTTCTTCCACATTATCCTTTTTCTAAATTATTCACGAGATTAAGAGGTCTGGAAGTTCCAGTGTGCTATTTAAACACTAGTCCTAAATGTTTAAAGAGACACGCATTTTTTTTTTTTTTTATGTTTTTATTTATTTATTTAGTTAGTTAGTTTTTGTTTGTTTGTTTATACATGCACTGGGTACAGTCAGAAGCGCAGGAGGGTGAGAGAATTCACCAGAGCCAGAGCGGGGAGCAGAGCAGGCAGAAGGACTGAAGTACACTGCTGAGGGGAGCAGCGGGCGACAGGAGAGGTTTGCGCGCCATGTGGGACCCTCCTCCAGTGGCCGGGGAGCAGCCGGGGATTGAACCAGCGCCGCAGAGGCCGCGGGCAGCTTCGCAACCCAGCGCTCAACCGCTGCGCCACCGGGGAGGCCCAAAGAGACACGCATTTAAATAATAGTATTAATAACTACTCCCTAAGACACAGAGACACAGGTTCCTGGCCCTCAGGATCTTACAAGCCAAGTTAAATAACATAATAAGGGAATTTTTTGCTTTCTCCACTTAGATTTTTTTAGACACTTTTTTAATGCGTTCTAATCAAACTCTTAACAGGCTTGAGTCTTTTTTTCTTCCTAAAATTCATCTGCAAGAACAGCTATCTGAGAAGAACTAATCAAAGAATGAAAAAGAGGAATGGGGCAGGGCAGTAGAAAGAGGAGGAATTTGCACTGACAGATATTAAAATATCATCTGAAACCAATCAAGACAATATAATATTGACGTCAGAACAGACAAATAGGTCAGTAAAACAGAACAGAATCTCGAAATAGATCCCATTATATAAGGAAAATTTAAAAGTGATGGAAGTGATACCGAAAGCCAATAGGAAAAGGATGATTTAGTAAAATTAACTGAAATACTTGTGTAAGTTATTTAAAAGAAGTGACATTGGTACAACATTGTGGGATATTAATTGGAAAGTATATATTTCCCTTTGCTTAAGTAGTTTCATATCCTTTACAGAGCTTGAAATTTTCCTTCATGTGTATCCTACCTATTTCTTAAGTTTAAACACAGGTACTTTATTTTGGTTATTATTGTAAGCTGAAAGTTTTTCTACCATGGGTACCAAACATTTATCATTTGATGTGGTAAAGCTATTGATTAATGTATATTAATGATTTCGTTGAATTTTCATATTTTTTAAGTTTTCTATTAATGCTCTTTGGGTTTCCAGAGAAACAATCATATCATTTGCAAATAACAATAATTTTGCTTTCTCCTTCCCACGACTTCATATTTTATTTCACCCTCTTGCCTAATTGCATTGACCAATAAATCTAGAACAATGTTAAATAAAAGTGATGACACTGGCCATTTCTGATGTTGCACCATTCAACATAATAAAATTACAAAAGTGATTTCTACTCATTTAGACAATTTAGTACATAACCTTCTAGAGGCTCTATGCTTTTCTTCTTAATGCCTAGCACATAGCTCACATGCAATGACTGTTGACTTTCAAGGAATGCTACATTAATACACAGATACACCTACAGCGCTCCATAAGTAGCACAGGATAATAGTAAAAGGAAAGAAAACACCAATAAACATTTACTGAGCATAAACTACGAGTGGAGCATTGGCCTAACCACCTTAACAGTACTTTGGCCTTGTCCATCCTGTTGGAGCTGAGTCTGACCGCGTGCTTGGAGTGCGGCAGTGGAACAAGTGCGAAGATCCGGGTGCTAATGCTGTCTCTGATTTGATTACCTGGGGAGGTTGTTAACCAACAGTTTCCACGCATCCAAAAGAAGGGACAATTTGGGTAAAGAGGAGGCAGCCTTAGAATTCATCTGGAGAATGGCCCACTTCTCACCCTACCACCCCAATTACGGGGGAACTTAGAGTGGATACCCAGTGGATGGAGCGCAGGAAAAGGCGGTAGAAGCCAGGCTTCTTTGAGAGAACGGATGTGGAGACATTACCAGAGAGAAAAACAAAACAAGCAAACAGAACAGAACATCCCTGACACCTGCCCTTGCACACGCCAGCCTCCTGGTGGACATGCAGATTCTGGGCTCCAGAACGAATGCAAAGCGGCATTTTACAAACCCCCAATGCGCACACGCACTCCCGGGTCCCCGCAGCCCTGCTGGGGTAACTAAACTGTCGTTTCTCCACCGCCAGGTCCTCGACGGGCGCCGGGACCGCACATGCGGCGCCGGAGCAGACGACCTGCTACAAGGACCAGGCCTCCTTGTCCTCTTTGGGGTCCGCTCAAGGTTAGCGGCCACACCAGACCCCGTCTCGGGGGAGTGACGTCGGCGCAGCAGGGGCAACCCAAAGGTCAAGAAAGTCGGGAGAGTTTTCCTCTCCGAGCCGCTCCCCAAGGAGGAGACCCCGGCCGGCGCGGGGCGGGCAGGAGGCTGGGCCCCCGCGGGTGAGTGGCCGCCCTGGCAGCCAATCGGCACGTCGCGCCGCCGCGCCGAGGTCCCGCCCCCCCGGCGCGGTACTCACTTTGCCCACCTCGGCGTTGCCCATGGAGATGACTTTGATGCGCAGGGACTTGGCTGACTCCTTCCGCTTCGGCATGCTGGCCTCCATGGCCCTCGCGCTCTCGGGGCCACCCGCCGCGGTGTCTCCGTGTTCACCACCCTGGCCCGTCCCTCAGGCGTCCTCGTCCAATGGCGGCCCCGTTGCTCGCGTCACCGCCCCAGCTCCGCGGCTGGCCATCCCCGCCGCTACCTGGCAGCGGGCGCGGGCGGTTGGGAGCGCCGGGATCCCGGGGAGGGAGCGCAAGTCTCGCGATGCTAGGACGGCGCCGTGACGTCATCACCCGGCCCCGGAGACGGCGCTGTGGCTACCTAGTCCCCGGGTCACGCGGCGGGGTCGAGGCCGGCTCTCTGGAAGTGGATGGGGGGGTGTTGACGCTGCTCTTCGTGGGAGTGGGGGGCCGGCGGGGTGTTCACTGCATTTGTCGCAATCTCAGCAGAGTGGTAGAGACTTATCGGCTGTTCAGGGCAGCTCCCGGGCGGGAAGTATAGAAGGGTTAGTTCCAGGCCCAGTCGCGCTAAAAATTCGAAGTAGCCCGCGGTTCGTTTTAGGTGTTTACTGAATTTTTTAGGCTCCACGTGTCCGTCCGCTGCACCCCGCACCCTCAGATATTGCTTCCCTTGTTCTGACTCCCTGAGAAGCAGGGTCTGGAGCCAGGAGAGTGGGCAAATGAGGCTCAGGCAAGGCTGGGAACGACGCTGAATCCCTTTCTGAACGTTTGAAATAAAGCTGCCCCTCTGGAGTCAGGCGGGGTTTAGCTTTGTCCTTGCTCCTCGATTGTGTGGAAATAACTATTTCACAATTGTTATTTGAAGTCAGATTTTTAAATAATTCATTTTTTAATTTTAAAATGTTAATACTTAAGGAAAAAAGCTTGTTCTAAATTGCTTTCATCATCAACAAGTGCTACAAGTTAGTTCTGTGAAGCTTCTAAAATTATTTACAAATGTAAGTCCTGGTTAGAACTCTGATAGTTCAGTTTAAAAGAATTGGATTTATACTAATTCTCCAGCGGACCTCTCAGTATATTTCATTAAATCAGTGAATGTCTATTTGAGATTCATCTTTGACCCTGTAATAGAATTGGTCTTGCGAAGGAATAATTGCAAAATGTCCAATTATCAGCTATTAAAGACTGATTAGTTACTGCTGATCATAAGAGCAGGAAAATTCATGCCAAATATTAAAATTACCATGTTTTTCATATTGATGTTTTCCAGGTTTTAATAGGTATAGCCCTAATTTTACTGGGTGTTGAATTAATTTGGAGTTGAAAAAATGAGGCAGTGAGCTTCTTTCCCAGTCTTTTAGATAAAAAGAAGATAGAGAAGGATGAATTAGCTGTGTGGTATGAAGCTGGAAGGCCTGGGATAGGGGTTTGGAACACTATGTTGGCATGATAGGGGCATGTGGTAGTGGTAAGGATAATAGGCGATAAAGCACATGATGTACTTATTAACTTTCAATAAAAATAGTCGTGTTTTCATTTACTTATGTTTTTATGCATTAAGAAAGCATACATATTTTCAAAGTAAATTATGAAGTATGTTGGACATACTTAAAGCTCTAAAGAATAATATAAATAATTCTTGGTATATCCACCACTTAGCTTAAGAAATAAAATACCACCAATACTGCATTTACTTTTCCCCAGCACATCCCTCCACCTTCTCTACAAAAGATTGCCACTGTCTGGATTGTTGCTTTTAATTTCCGTGCATTTAAACATTATTTGCTATATATGTGTATATACCTTACTGTATATATTTCTTTTTGAGAAATCTTTACTTTGAAATAATTTCACTCATAAAAAATAAATAGGGAGAAATCATATACACTTTATCCAGATTCATCAATTGTTAACATTTTGCCTTATTTACTACATCAGCTGTGCTCACTATATATACATAAATATCCACGTTTTTAATGAATCACTTGAGAGTAATTTGCAATGTGTTTCTTTATCCTCAAATACTCCAGTGTATATTTCCTAAGAACAGGGACTTTCTCTTACACAGAAACAGTATATTTATCAAAATGAGGAAATATATCCATCACCATTACTTAATCCTGTGGTACTCAAACTGTGCCTTGAGGTCCCCAAAGCCCCACAAGTGAATTCACATGGGGGATATCGGTTATCATCTTTTACTTTCCGAATTTTCAAGGCAAACAAATGAGAGATCTAAGACTATGCAAAACGAGTGGCGCAATGTTATTTACAATTTCAACAATAGATGGCACCATATTCCTTGACTATGTCATCTTGTTGGGATGCTGGGTTTTTTGGTGGTGTGATGAAAAGCAAGTACATAGCAAAAAATTGGTGTGGAAAAGGAAATGAGCATGGGCTTGTCCAAGCTTAATCTAAGGGTTTGAGCATGGGCTTGTCCAAGCTTAATCTAAGGTTTGAGAAGTGCTGTGCTTAATAGAGGCACAGAAGATCCCACTAGTAAGCAATTGTGATTATTCTAAAATGAAATAAATATTTTTTCTTCCAATTTATATTATTTTTTTCAAATGGCTACTAAATTGTTAGGCCACAAATACTTAATAAGTTGTTTGCACCTAGAATTTTTTTTTTTTTTTTTGCTGCAGGTCACCATGAAAATATTATTGAGACATTAGGGCACTTTGAACTAAAAATGCTTGGGAAACTTCCATCTACTCATAGTTGATATTCAAGTTCACTGATGGTCCCAATAATATCCTTTATAGATGTATTCCCTGTCTCCTTACTCCCTGGTCTATAGTCTAATCCAGCAGCATTTTGTTGTCATATATCTTTTTTTTTTAAAGATTTATTTATTTATGCAAAAACTGGGGCACAGGTTAGATATGCGGGAGGGTGAGAGGATCCACCAGAGACAGAGCAGGGGAACAGGACAGGCAGATGACTGAAAACACTGCTGAAGGGAGCAGCAGGCGAGACAGGAGAGGTCTGCCTCGCCATGTGGGAATCTCCCTGGCCGGCCAGGAATCAAACCGGCGCTGCAGAGGCTGCAGACAGCTTCACAGTGCTGCGCTCAACCTGCTGTGCCACCGGGGAGGCCCTGTTGTCATACATCTTTAGTCGTCTTCCTTTTTTCATTTTGTACACTACCACAAATCACTGCAAACCCTTTTCTCCAGGGTAATAGAATATGCAGCAATGGCACAGGACCACATTTTATTTCTATAGGAAGAAAAAGGTTTAATATTAACATATATAAGGGTGTGCATCAAGAGGAACTTGTAATAATAATAATAATAATAATAATAATAATAATAATAAAGACATGCCTTGAACCCTCTGCCCCTGTCCCAACACTGCCATCTTCTGGCAAAAAGGGAACCTGGGAAAGAAGTCAGGGGCTTTGCTTCCAGCAGATTGATCCCCATTGGTTGTATTTTCAGATAAAACGATAGTAGTGTTTTTTAAAGTACAGTAGTGAGGACCTGAAGCTCAGACCTGCAACCTTTATCTACCTGCTTCATGTCAGGTCCTTATTGTTTCCTTAAAGAAGCCCTTTTATTTGGGTATTCCTACCAGGAGAACTGAAATTTTGGCTCCCAAGTTTCATTCAACAACACATACGAAATATTTCAGATAAATGAGCTTTAATCCTCAACTTCCTCCTCTTTTTTATCCTGGTAGTCTGCAAGTGATGTGATTGGTAACTCTATTTGCTGTTAGTAACTACGGGTAACCAATCACATAGATTATTCTTCAAATATGGAGAGCCCACGTTTTGGGGAAGTGAGCCTGGCACTTGGCCCTACGACAGCCACAGCTGAACTCCTGTCTGTCAGCCAGCACCGCCTCACCAGCCATGGGATAGAGCCATCTAGCCGTTTATAAAACAAGGTTGCCAACAGAACTGGAATGTAGTGATAAGGACTTTATTTTGAAGGTGATGCTCAGTAATACACACAGGTAGGAAATCACCATTAACCCCACCAAGGAATTTGAGTTCAGAGCAAGGTGCCAATTCCTTGGGAGATGTACTACCTGGGTGAAAGACTGAAAGTGCTGAAATGCCATCTTACTCCTCTTTTTTGAAGGTCAAGTTCATTTGAACCTCATGACCTTTGTTCTTATTTTCACTCTGCCTAAAATGCTCTTCACCAGACCTCAGCCATGCTGTATGGTTCTAGCCATACTGATCTTGTTATAGGACAGGGAGAGGGGCAGCCCAAACCCCGCAAACCTGTCTATTCTAAGTGGGTTCTGCCATCCGCCGCATCAACACAAAACATAGGAGACTTTAATGGGAAGGAACTTTAATAAAACTAGGAAATAATACAGGTAAGGCAAAGAGTCTAGTTTCTAAATGAAGCACCCAAAGTTACCCGTCCCCTCGTGGGTAAAAGTCCATCCAAATGGGATTGGCCCAGAGCAAGGCCCCAAAGCCTGCCACAAATCTAAGGCATCTTCCAGTGGGGACCCACAGAAAAGGGTCAGAAACTACCAGACAAGGCCGGAAGGAAAAGAGCAAAATCAACATCAAAATAAAAGCTGCCATTGTCACCTCCCCATGGGTCTCACCCACATCTGTGTTACCCAGTCCACGACCAAAAGACAAGCGCAGTTTCTTCACGTGTCTCTAGGCTCCACGCGCCTCCTCCAGGTCTCCTGGCTCCATCCTGCTTCCTTCCTCAGTCTCTTCTTCAGCTTCTCCTCCTGCTCAGCTCCACCCTTCCTTGGGTGGGGCAGGGAACATGGAACCTCCCCCTTTCCTGGGGACCACCCTGTTACAATCTGATTACCTACAGAGGAGAGATCTTGGCACAAACCAGTTTTCACCTACATATCCAGTTGCAGTTAATAGCACCCAATTGCCTAATAACAGATTTAACAAAGAAGGGAAGGGAAGGGAAGGGGGGCGGGAAGGAAAGAATGAGGAGTAGAAGGACAAACTCCCCAGTGCAATGCCGTAGGGATCTGCTTTACCCAGTTTCTCACTAACAGTTTGGATAAAATTACAGCAGAGATGTTGGCAAAAGTTCTGGCTAGCTCTAGAAAAGTAGGAATTATGCCAGTTATGATGGACAAGAAGATTTAAAATGACCACCCTGCTTCTGATTAGTCAAGCACATGAATAGCTTGATGCAATTTTAACATTTTGGAAAGTCCATCAAAATTATCTAAGTTCGAATTCTTGTGGAGTTGAATTGCTCTGTCT